TCAAAACGATGCCGGCCGCCACCTACCGCCTGCTCACGGGCCAGGAGCAGCCCGTGTACCTGTGACCGGCCACCAGCCCGCCACCGTGCCTTAGCGCCAGCAGCCCCGGGACTCCGTCCGCGGGGCCTCCGGAGGCTTCTCGGCTCCCTGTTATTCTCTGATTGAAAACATTAAATGCTTGACAAACGGGCAGCATCTTGGCTCGAGATCTGTGGGGTTGAGAGAGGAAGGATACGACCGACTCTCAACTCGGTGTCCTTCCTGGAAATCTCTAGAAGCCACTGCTGTGAAAATACTCTATTTATTAAAGACTGGCAGAAGGAGGTAGGGTTCTAGGTTCCGTACGGGAAACTGAGTCCCAGCTCTAGGGAGGAAGAGGGGATAGGGGCCAGCTGGCCACCTGGGAGGGGTCACAGGTCGGTGGCCGGGCCCCAGTCGTAGCCGTCTTCGTCAGAGGACTCCATGTCTCGAGCTCGCGTGAACTTTTTCTTCAAAGCTTCCTGCCCGTATGTCCTGGGGATCAGGAAATAGAATAGAGGCTGTGGGCAGGGGACAGGCAGGAGCCACCCTTACCTGAGGCTGACTCTGTGGGGCACGGTGGGTGTGGACAGAGATGAGCGAGACTGTGCATTTAGGGGTCAAGCCTCGTTAACGAACTCCTACACATCCTTCAAAGCCCCAGCCAGTGTCCTGTCCTTCAGGAGACTTTCCCAATCGGTCCTCGTAGGAAGACAGCATCTGCTTCTTTGGCCCTGACGACACGGGGGTCTGAGTGACCCTGTCTGCTTTCAACCCGCCCACTGGGCTGGGAGCACCATGAAGGCATAGCCTGGTTCTCGGTCTCGTCACCCCCAGAGCCTGAGTCCCAGGAAGAGGGCCGAGGGGCCCCAATCTGGACTACGGGGGGGGGGGGGCTCTTACCGCATGCTGTCCTGTCGCCACTGACCATGGGGGGAATGGCCATCCACCTTGGAGGGGGAGAAAGGTCAGCACTTCCCCCAGAGTAAGACAAAGTAGGGTGTAGAGGACCCCCATCCCAGCTTCCCACCTTGGCCCCGGTGGTGCTACCCACGCTTTCTCCTTGCCCCACACAGGTCTGCAACTCCTCCAATTTTTAGTGAGAAAATGGCGTGGGACAGAGAAAGGCCTCGGCTGCGATCCCCTAGCCTGTCAGCAAAGGGGGAAGTGGGTTCCCAGCTGTAGAATTCTTCAGAGGGCTGTTGTTAGGAACTCATAAATAAATCCGTGTATGGAAAGTGCTCAGGATAGTGCCTGCCCCATAAGCAAGCTGCCGTGGACAGTTGAGCAGGTTGGGTACTGCACAACTCCAGGCAAGCACCATTCCAAGCAGAGACCTCACAGCTTTGTACATTTTTATATTTAACAAGAGACAGTCTGGAGGAAGGGTTGCCTTTGTCGAATTTATAAAGGGCACTGCAGAGGCTGAGGCAGGCTCAGTAAGAACAAATGCTATATAAATACATGTTGTTGTTAAACACCCAACTAGTGTGGGCTGGGACTTGGACGAAGAGCATTGAGTTTAAACAGCCACCTTGTGACGTCAAGATTTATCCATTTCATTATGTCCCAGATAAGGAAATACAGAGGTTACAATGTTTGGTTTAAGTTGTTCAGTGACTCAGTGGCTCAAATACCCTAGGTCCGGGTCTCAGACGCTGATCTGATCAGAGAAGCTTCTGTTCGTTAACATCCTGGTGGCAAACAGGCTCCCCTGTGTGTCCCAGCCCCACGCAAGACCCCTGCCAGGCCGCGCCCCCCCCCCCCCCCGCCTCCGCCGCCGCCCGTGCCCTGCTTACCTGGGCCCCTCGGGGACCCGGGGCTCTCCTATGATCCCCCGGGCTCTGAGGCTCATCCGCCAGCACGGGTTCCGAGGACCGGGCCAGGGCTGGCGCCGGTGGACCTTCGTCCACGTCCGTGTGGGGGCCGCCCTCGCCATCCGTGTAGCCCTCCCCGTCTGTCTCGTAGTCGCTGTTGACCCGGCTGTCACAGCTCAGATCCGCAGAGCTGTCGGCCAGGCCTCGGTGAGGCAGGTCCAGGTTGCCCTCCGACGAGTTGTCCGGCTGCGGGGTGGGCGTGGCCTGGCTGAGCCAAGGCCCCGCCCCCTCCTCCCAATCCCACCCCCGGCCTCCAACCTCACTGCCAAAGCAGGTCCAGACCGTCACCTCAGGTCCGACCTTGGCCGTGGACGTGCCCCAACCCCCGCCCCGGGTACCTGGTCCTCGGCCGTCCAGATGGGCCGGGTCTGCTGCTCGCGGATGACGGCCTTGAGCTCCCGGTACCAGGCGTCACTCGTGCCATGCAGGGGGATGGTGGCTGCGGGGAGGGGGCTTCAGCGTGGCCGCAAGTGCGCGGCCAGGACCCGCCGCCCACGCAGCCTCCCCCCCCCCCCCCCCACCCCGCCGTCCGCCTACCCGTGAACAGGTGTTCGCTGTGCTTGCGTAGCTTCTGGGCTTGCGCGTAGAGGCGGCGGGTGCTGCGGCGGGAGGCGGGCGCCAGCCACTGGCGCAGGGCCTTGAGGGCCACGCGGCTCTCGGGGGCGCAGAAGACCACGATGGGGTAATATTGCACGTAGTTGAGGCGTTCCACCGCCGACGGCGTCACGTCCAGGAGCGCGTGCTTGTCCTGCGCCCAGCCCGCGGCGGAGGCGGAGGCGGGGGGCGGGGCGAGAAACACCCAGAGACGCAGCGGACAGGTCAGGAGGCAGGTGAAAGGTCAGAAGATCAGAGGTGGAGACGGAGGGTTGGGGTGAAGGTGGACCCTGACCTCAGGGCGCAGGCGAGCGCAGTGGGCAGGGGCTGTGACGGCCCAGGGCTCGCCACTGTGTGTCTCTGTCCCTCTCAAGCCCCGGCATCGCGGCACCTCCGAGAGGGGCGCCGAGGGGGAGGGGGTCTGTGCCCGTGCAGCCCGGCCGGGGCGGGAACGGGTTGGAGGCCTGGGCCTTGGTTTCCCAACCCTTGAAACGGGGCACCGAGCGGGGCCCTGCTTACGTTCTCGGCGATCACGCGCACGGTATCCAGCTTGATGATCTTGGAGGGGCTGTCGGTCCTCGATACGCTGTCTGTGGAGGGAGAGGTGACCGGCGGCTGCGGGAGGGCGCTCCCCTCGCCGCTCAGATTCTCGGGCCCACCTGCCCCTCCCCTGCTCAAGAACCCACCATGGCTGCCCATCACCCCGAGGGCAAGTCTAACAGCAGCCACGAGCCTGACTCGCTGCACTCAGTCTCCCTCCTGACCGTGGCCTACACTGCCGTGGACCATGTGGCAGATGGGAAACAGCCCCAAGGACGTAAGGTCACTGGCTCGGGGTCACGGAGCCGACAAGGGGCAGGGCAAGGAGCCCGATGTGGTGTTTGTGTTCCAGACACTAGCTGTGCCCCGCTCGGCCCCAACTTGGCTCGGGCTGTGTCTGCTGCCCTCCCATTCCCCATGCGTTCTGTAGGACTCGAGGTAGAGCCCTGCCTCCTCCAGGAAGCCCTCCAGGACAGCCAGGGGCTGATGGAGGTGACATGCCCTGCTCTGGAGGGCCCAAAAGGAAAAGGGGGGGGGAGTGGGGCAGAACCCTACCTGATTTATTTCATTGTTATGTGCAGAACAGGGACACCTGGGGGGGCTCCGTCGGTTAAGGGTCTGACTTCAGCTCGGGTCATGATCTCACAGTTTGCGGGTTTGAGCCTCGTGTCGGGCTCCGTGCTGACAGCTTGGAGCCTGGAGCCTGCTTCGGATCCTGTGTCTCCCTCTCTCTGCCCCTCCCCTGCTCACACCCTGTCTCTCTCTCTCCCTCTCTCTCTCTCTCCCTCTCCAAAATAAACATTAAAAAAATTTAAAAAGTAAAATCAAATGTACAGAACATAAAACTCACCATGTCTAAGCACACAGCTCAGCGGCCTCAGGCACACTCACACTGTCGTGCAGCCGCCCCCGCCATCTGTCTCCAGAACTTTCCATGTCCCCGAACTGAGACTCTGTCCCCATGGAACACTGGCTCCCCACCTCCTGCCCCACCCCTGGCTCCCACCATCTACTCTCTGTCTCTGTGGGCAGGACTCCTCCAGGGGGTCACGCGAGACGTGTCCTTCTGTGCCCGGCTTCTGTCACTGCTCAGTGTCCTCCGGGTCCACCCACGTGGTGGCAGGAGGCAGGACGTTCTTCCTTTTTACAGCTGGATCATACTCCAGTGTGTGGACGGACACTGTGTTTATCCTTCACTGTGGCTAATACTGGGAACGTGGGGGCGCAAGTGCCCGTTTGAAACCCGGCCGTTACTTCTCTTCGGTATAGACCAGATGTGGACTCGCTCGCTGGGTCAGACGATGACTCTGTGTAACCGAGGAGCTGCTCGTAGTTTTGCACAGTGGCCGCCTGGTCTCACGCTCCCCCAGCCGAGCACGAGGGCCCCCACTTTCCACATCCTCACGGACACTTGCTGTGCTCTGTTCTGCTGTGTTACGCTCTGGCCCCGTCCCGGGCCTCGCTTGGCCTCGCACTGTGGTCCTGATCGGCACTTCCCCGGCGACTAGTGATGTTAAGACGACCTTGCCCTCCAAACCACACGCCGGAGCCTCGTCCTTCCGCCAAGTTCCCTTCCCACAGACCCTGCCTCCCCTTTTGCTGTGGGAAAAGCCCCCTGAAGGCTGCTGAGCCCTCCGGGGCGGTGAGAAAGGGCCTCACCTCCTGAAATGCTCGCACCTCGCACGGGCACGAAGACCATTCCCACACTCATTCCTCCTGCCAAGCACAACCCCATTTGAGAGACGAGGAAGTGAGGTCTCAGGGCAAGCCACCAGCTCAGGGTCACCCAGCCAGGAGGAGCAGGAATTGCCTGGAGGTGACATCTGCCCAGGGAACGGCCTCGCTCGAAAGCCCCGGCCAGGGGACACTTTGGCAAGGAGACGGTGTGTGTCTGCAAGAAAAGCCCCTCCGCCCTCCTTTGGGGGGCTCCTGACCAAGATCGCCACCCCACGGGGCTTTGATCTGATGCTGTATTCAAGGGCATCCGCTCTGCAAACACTTCTCTCCGCTGGAAAGCGGCCACAGTGTGTCAACCAACAGGTGTGGCTGTATCCCAATAAAACTTTATTGATAGGTTATAGGTGGTGAAATGTGAATTTCATATCATTTTCATGTGTCACATCACATTTCTTTTAACTTCTCTTCAACCGTTTGAAATGTGTAGATACACCATTCTTAGCTGGCAGGCTGTATAAACACGTAGCTGATGGGCCAGATTTGGCCCTGGAGCTTTAATTTACTGACCCCCGCCCCCCCCCCCGCCCCAGCTTGTTTCAGTAGTTGTTCGTGAATTTTTGGTGTTCTCGGGGGAACAGTTGTCTATCTGGCTCAACGCTGTGTCTGTAGCTCAATAAAGGAAGGGGCAGGTGGCACGTTGGGTTCATCGGCAATGGCTTTGGCAATGGCTGCCGGGCGAACTGTGTTAAGAAGGATTCTGAGGCTCCATCCGGACAAAGAGCGCCATGATTGGCTCAGGACGTCTGGCCCAGGCCTTGGAGGGGGCGCTGGTGACTCATCTGCCTCGTGCCTGCCTGCCGTGGCTGTTTTAACTCTTTCCCGAAACAGCAGCAGCAGCAGCCCCCTCATCAGGCTGCCTCGGCCCCCGCGCTGGGGAAGAGGCTGTGAAATCGTTCCCCCAACAAGGCTGCTTCCTTACCTGCGATCTCGAACTGGTCGGGCATCTCCGCAGTCAACTTCTGCATGGCAATGTCTGCCACGGGCCCCAGGATCACCACCGGGCGCTTGAAGCTGGCTGAGGGGCAGAGAAACGGCAAGGATCAAGATCCCATTTGCAGCAAAGACCGCTAGACCCAGCCAGGCCCATGGCTGCCCGGCTGAAGACTACATCTCCCAGCGTCCCCTGCAGGCAGGAGGGCCACGTGACTACCTCCCGGCCAATGGGGTGCAAGCAGAATTGTGCGCCGTTCTGGGTTGTAGCCTTCCAGGAAAGACAGGATCCCTGTTCACCTTCTTGCCTCTTCCCCGGCAGGAATGGTCTTGGACCACATCATAAGGCGGAAAAACAAGATGTGAGACCACCCTCCGTTACTTACACCTGAGCTATGACTTAAAAAGAAGCTCTTTTCTGCTTCTGCAGCTCTCACGTGGGTTGGGTTATAGCATTGAAGTCAGTAGACAGCAAACTACAACCCGTGGGGCCACATCCGGCCCACTGCCTGTTTTATAAATAAAGTTTTATTGGAACACAGTCACGTCCACTCATGTACTGCCTCTGGCTGCCTTCGTGCAGAGTGGAGTCGTTTTGAAAGAAACCACACAGCCCCACAAAGACTAAAATAGTAACTGTGTCTGACCTTTTGCAGGAAGAGTTTGCCAACCACTGGACTGATGGCTATATCATTTTAGCCATGAGGAAACGGGCACAGAACGCACAATGGCAGGAGAAAAAGGAGTAGTCAGCCCCCTCCTGATACCCCTGTTCCCATCCCTCGGAAAGGATTTTTTGAATTTTTTCTTTGAAGTTTATTTTTGAGGGGCACCTGAGTGGCTCAGTGGGTTAAGCGCCCAACTTCAGCTCAGGTCATGATCTCAGGGTTCGTGAGTTCGCGCCCCACATCAGGCTCTATGCTGACAGCTCAGAGCCTGGAGCCTGCGTCGGATTCTGTGTCTCCTTCTTTCTCTGCCCCGCCCCCGCTCACACCCTGTCTCTCTCAAAAAAAAAAAAATTAAAAAATAAACTTAAAAAAAAAGTCACCCCCTCCAGCCCCCACAAACCCCCTTCTTGTCCCTGGCTGAGCCTGTTCTGTACGTTTCACACACGTGGACTCAGACCCCGTGTGGGCTCTGGGGTCTGGTTCCCTTTCTGAGCGTGAAACATTTAGGGTCTGTCTGCAGGGCAGCGGGTGTGGGCGCCTCGCTCCTGCTAGTGGGCGGGGCAGCGACCTGCGCGTGCGCGGTGGACACGTTCATCAGTGGACGCGCGCATGCGCGGTGGACACATTCCTCTGTGGACGCGCGCGTGCGCGGTGGGCACACTGTGTGTATCCCTTCATCTGTCGGTGAGCATGTGGGTTGTTTCCACGTTTGGGCCGTTGTGAGCCGTGCTGCTGTGGACACGCGTGCTCAGGCTTCGGTCTCACGCCCGTTCACAGTATGCGTGGATTTTAAAGGGTGTCTGTTCAGCGCCAGCTGACACCCCAGAAAGGGCAGCGCCCACGGAACGCCCGGGCGGCCACCGCAGGCCACGTGTGGCCGTGGAGCCCCTAAAACGTGGCTGGTCTGAACCCAGATGTGCCAAGTGCAGAATACACACCAGGGCTTACACACACACACACACACACACACGCGCGCGCGCGCACAGGAGGGTGTGAAATATCTCACCGACTACTTATAATTGGGTTATCTGTTAAAATACTTTGGGTATGGTAACAAGGTAAATTGTTTAAGTTACGGGTAACCACTTCTTTTCGAGATTGCGCCTGTGGCTTGCGGATCTCTACTGGAAAAGGAAAGGAGCCCTCTCCTGTTTCCTTCGGCACCCTAAAATAACCCAAAATTTTGGGGGGGGGGAGGTTAAGGATGGGGGCTTCCGAAGCCTGGACGCGGAGGAAGACTTGGTCCAGAGCTTCCGAAAGCCTTACGAGCCCCCCCTCCCCTCGGACCCACCTTCTCGAAGCACCACGCGTTCATACGGCGGGTAGTGACCCTGCCTGGTCAGATCGGACAGGTCCTCGCGGCTCCGATGGGTGGTCTTCTTGGCCCCTCGACGGAGACCCCGCAGCCGCCAGAACTCGGCCCGCGCGTTGGAGCCCGAAGACGCGCCCGGCCCGGCGCCCACGGCGCGCTGGGCGGCCTCCAGACTGGCCAGCTGCTCCGCCCTGGGGAGGAGGCAGGGGGCTGGGCACGGAGGGCGGCGGAAACCCGGCCCGGGAGCCGGGAGGCCGCGCCCGTCTGCGGCGGGGAAGCCGAGGCCGAGGGGCGACGCACCTGCTCTGGTTGGGGATGATGCCCCGCTCCTGCTCGCGGAGGTCGCGTCCCATGCGCGCCGCCAGCCAGTGGCCCCCGCGGGCGCGGCTCTGCCCGGGGCCGGGGTACAGCGTGTCCAGCACGTGGAAGACGTCTCCGCGGGTGAAGCCCAGGCCCGACGGGGGGCTGGCCTCCAGCTCGAAGTGCGTGCGGATGTAGAAGGAGTCGCCCACGCGGGACTGCACCATTTTCCGGAAGACTGCGGACCGGGGAGGCTCGGTGAGCGCCCAGGCCCCCCCCCCCCCCCCCGCCCGGACCCCGCCCGCCCGGCGCGCGCGAGCACTCACTGTCCTGCTTCCGCTGCGTCACCAGCTCCACGTCCTGGCCAGGCGGCAGCCCCAGCAGGAACTGCACGGCCTCCTCACGGGTCAGGTTCCGGAAGGGGACGTCATTCACCTGCCGGGGAAGGGGGCGTGGCATGGACCGCGGCCACCCCCCGGCCGGACAGGCGATGCCAGGTCTGCTGGGCACGGGGCCCACTCCCGGGAGGACAGCAGGGACTGGTCGTGACCCAGCCAACGAGGTCATGACACAGGCAGGGAGACGTTAAAACGTTCAGATGTCCAGGGGCGCCTGGGTGGGTGGCTCGGTCGGTTAAGCGTCCGACTTCGGCTTAGGGCACGATCGCACGGTTTGTGAGTTCGAGCCCCATGGCGGGCTCTGTGCCATCAGCTCGGAGCCCGGAGCCCGCTTCCGATTCTGTGTCTCCCTCTCTCTCTCTGCCCCTCCCCCACTCAAGCTCCGTCTCTCAAAAATAAATAAATGTAAAAAAAAAATTTTTTTTTTTGTAATGTTCACATGTCCCTGGGGGTGCTGCGGGTCCTGGGGGAGGACACACAGGCCAGGACAGACTCCGGGGCCACCCAGCAGGCCGCCACACCCACTGCCGGCTGCCCCAAGTCACCTGCAGAATCTCATCTCCCTCCTGGATGCCCTGCCCGTCGGCCGGGCTGCCCTCCTGCACCCCGGACACGAAGATGCCCACGTCATTGCCGCCGGCCAGGCGCAGGCCGATGGTGGAGCCCTTGGGGAAGCGGACCACCCTCCAGTCGGGGCTGTACCTGTAAGGGGAGGCAGAGGCGGGGTCAGGCCGGAATGGGGGGAGAGGGGGCGCGCTGGGCCTCCCTGGGAGAGCCCCCACCCCCTCCGGGCCTCAGTTTCCCCACAGCCTCGCATGGCGGCCCCACCAACACGGGGACGCAGCCCCGGGATGCGCGAGTGTCCGGCTGAGGGGGCTCTTTTCCCCGGGGGGACGTACCCACGGTCCTCCCTGCTCTGGCCGCTGGGCACCCTGTAGATGTCACAGCTGCTTTGCCTGGGGGAGTCTGAAAGGGAACAGCAGTGTGTTTTCCAAGCACCCTGACTGGTCTAGCCGCCACACCTCAGCCTTAGGGTGTCCCTGCCCCACGGCGCTGTCACCCAGCCCTCCATCCTTCCCAGGGAGCTGCCCCTGACCTCTTAGGCCCCTGCCCCCCTCTCCCGCCCTGCCTGGCACCACCTCACTGGTTGGGATCAGAAAAATCAGAAGGATGCTCAGAGTCACGTCCCTGCCACCGTCCGCTCACCTGTTTCTGAGATGGTTCTGGAATCCACTGACTTGTCCCGCCAAAGCGGGGGGCTCTCCCTGGAGGGGGAACAGATTTGGGGTGAAGCAGGGGCGGATGCCGAGAGGCGACTGTAGCAATTCTCATTTATTTGCACCCAGATTCAAATTCTGCCTTTCTGCCTGGGAGACCGTGGGGCCGCTGCTGTCTCTCTGAACTCGGGTTCCCTCCTCTGAGCCCCGGGGACGGCTAAGTCAGGGCCACAAGGAGGCATGGCTCAAAATGAGGCAAACCTGTGGCCGATGGTCACGTTTATGATTCTAGTTAGTGAAAAGCTATAGAAGGTGATATGGTCTGAGTGTTGTGCTCCCCCCCCCCCGCGCCACCGCCGTCCTAACCCCGGGGGTGGGGGGGATGATGGTTTGGGAGGTGGGGCGTCTGGGAGGCGAGGCGATCAGGGTTAGGTGAGGTTGGGGGGGGCAGGAAGGGGGTGCGGGACCCGAGTGCCGTCTCTTCCACGTGACCACACTCGGAGAGAAGCGGGTGGTTGTCTGCAGCCCGGAGGGGAGCCCCCAGCAGGGACCCCCAGAGCCAACATGGTGACCACGGACCTGCAGCCTCCACAAACCACCCCCCCCACCATGTGTGGTATTCGTCATCACAGCCTGAGCTGCCTGAGACACACACGGGAAGGAAAGTCCCCTGCAAAGCCAGCCCGCTATTAGCACAGATGAGTTACTTTCCAGACCCGGCAGACGCTTCCAAATAAACCCGTGCGGGTGGCTATATACTTTTGAAAGAACGTCAAGGTCACGGGGCGTCTGGGTGACTCAGTCGGTGAGGCTCTCGGGTCACGATCTCGCGGTCCGTGAGTCCGAGCCCCGCATCAGGCTCTGTGCTGATGGCTCAGAGCCTGGAGCCTGTTGCGGATTCTGTGTCTCCCTCTCTCTCTCTGCCCCTCCCTCGCGTGCGCTCTGTGTCTCTCTTGAAAAATAAACATCAAAAATTGTTTTTAAAAAGAGCAAAACACGAAGATCACGCCGCACGTTAGCATCTGACATTCACCCCGTGAATCCCCAGGACACGGGAAAGAAATTTGGAAATACCAGTCCCCTCCCCACCTCCGCCTCCTGGAGCGGGCTGGCACCCCAGAAGCCGGTCCGGCCGCTCGGACCCACGGCTCCTCCTGTGTGCAAGTGGGACGCCGGGGAAGGTCATGCAAGAGACCCTCCCCCCTGCCCCCAACCCTCTGAGAGATGCCGCCCTGTGTCGCTCCAGAGGCTGGCGCTCCCGTTACCGAGCGTCCCCGAGCCCGGCTGCACGGTAACAGCCGTACGAAGGAGCGGGCGTTCACTGTGGCCCAAGCACACACGTGTTGCCTCCTTCTGTCACTGATACTCAGCACCCCGACATCTGGGGCTCTGGGGTCCCCTTCCCGGCCGAACCAGCCCCGGGGACCCGGGAAAAGAGCGGCACAGGAGGAACCGCGTGCTGAGCTGAGGTTACGAGAAGCAGCTTCTGTCTCGGTCCGTATTCTTTTTTTTTTTAATTTTTTTTTTCAACGTTTATTTATTTTTGGGACAGAGAGAGACAGAGCATGAACGGGGGAGGGTCCGAGAGAGAGGGAGACACAGAATCTGAAGCAGGCTCCAGGCTCTGAGCTGTCAGCACAGAGCCCGACGCGGGGCTCGAACCCACGGACCGTGAGATCATGACCCGAGCCGAAGTCGGACGCCCAACCGACTAGGCCACCCAGGTGCCCCTGGGCGTTTCTGTTTTTAGGCATGGAGTCGTGTCCCCTCAAAATTCCTGCGCCGAAATCCTAACCCCCAGCATCGCAGAATGTGACGGTACTTGGAAATATGGTCGCAGTGGATGCGATCGGTGGAGAAGGAGGACCTACCAGTAGGAGGAGGGGAGGCCCTGATCCCGTATGACTGGTGTCCTTATACAATGGGGACGTTTGGACCCAGAGACAGACAAGATGACGTGAAGACATCAAGAGGAGGTGGCCACTGGGGCGCCTGGGTGGCGCAGTCGGTTAAGCGTCCGGCTTCAGCCAGGTCACGATCTCGCGGTCTGTGAGTTCGAGCCCCGCGTCAGGCTCTGGGCTGATGGCTCAGAGCCTGGAGCCTGTTTCTGATTCTGTGTCTCCCTCTCTCTCTGCCCCTCCCCCGTTCATGCTCTGTCTCTCTCTGTCCCAAAAATAAATAAATGTTGAAAAAAAAAATTAAAAAAAAAAAAAAAAAAAAAAAGAGGAGGTGGCCACTTATGAGCCCAGGACTTGCTGGAAGCTACCAGAAGGTAGGAGAGACCTCCCGCCCCCTGCCTCCCCGCCTCCCCGCCTCCCCGCCCTGAGCCTCCAGGGGGAGCGTGGCCCTGCCCACACCCTCATCTGGGACTCCGGAACCGGGAGACCATAAATTTCTCCTGTCCTAAGCCACCAAGTCTGGGCGCTGTGTTATAGCCACCGCAGGACACGGATGCAAGGTCACTGCCACTTGTTCCCGTCTGTAAACATCATCATAACGAGCAAGCACCCTCCAGTCCCTGCACACACCCATGGCTATCTTGCCCCCAAGAGAAAATCCCTAAAGGAGGACTGAAGTCGAAAATGGGTTCGAAATTGGATGGAAGTCGAAAATGGGGGGGGGGGTCTTGGAAAATTCTGCTCCTTCTGCTTTAAGTCGATCCCTACCAGGCTCCCCTGGTCCCAAGAACCCAGAGCCACGTACTGGGGGCCAGGAGGACTATGTGTGGACGGGGGAAGCCTCTTCCAGGCAGGCCACCAGGACTGCACCCTCCAGTCGGAAAAGATATGCCCACGTTCCATTCCCACTCAGACATTCTGGCCGACAGGGGTACGTACTCGGGGGAGTCGGTCCAGCTGGCGTCAGAGCTCCGCCGCACATGCTGGGGTGGCGGTGGGACGTGGGAGGGTGGCGCCTGGGACGTTTCTGAGCCGAGGTCGGAGATGTCTGCAGCGGAGAGGACGTCCCATCAGGCCTGCAGCCCGCACCGCAGAGGGGGACGTCAAGGCCCCTCTAAGCCAAGGGGCCTAGACCAGAGTCTGGCTCGGCCAGTAAGCCCTCACTTCCTGTGTGGCCTTGGACAAGTGTCTGTCCCTCTCTGAGCCTCACAGGGCCAGGCTCACGTGCCCTGCTAGGCCCCGCCTGGCCTCCTCGGCCTCCCCTGCCCTCCGCTGAACCCACAGGGCCTGCCCTCTGGCCCCTCACCGTCCAGGAGAGAGCTGTCGCTGTCACTGACGGCCGGTGGGATGTTCACCAGGAACTGCCCTCTGTCCCTGAGCACCAGCAGAGTCAGCTTCCCTTCTGACTTCTCGATCAGTCGCCGTGTGTCACTCAGAGACAGATTCTCGCTGGACACGCCATTGATCTAAAAGGCCCGGGAAGGAAGACAGGAAGGGAGTTAACACTAGATAGGGGATACTAGAAACAGACAGCTTGGTGGGGGCACTAGAAACACACAATTGCTAAAAACAGACGTTCTCAACAGAAAACGATCGTACGGGATCCCTCCTGTGAGGAGACCATGCCCAGAAGTGACTCCCACAAAAATTCCAGAATTCGGGCGCCTGGGTGCCTCAGTCCATTAGGTGTCCAACTCTTGATTTCAGCTCCTGTCGTGATCCCAGGGTCGTGGGACCGAGCTCCGCATCAGGCTCTCTGCTGACGGCACGGAGTCTGCTTGGGATTCTCTCTCTCCCTCTCTCTCTGCCCCTCCCCTCTTTGCATGCACACATGCACGAGCTCGCGTGCGCTCTCTCTCTCTCTCTCTCTCTCTCTCTCAAAAAAAAAAAAAAAAAAAAGAAGTCCAGAATCAGCCAATTCTCTGAGGGGCAGGGGGAGCTTTGGGGGAAAATTAAAAGCAGCCTGACTCCCCACCTCCCTAGAAGGGGAATTTCTCAGGAGACGCTAGAAACAAACATTAGGAACAAGTCTAACTAGGGGGGGCCTAGTCAGTCCATAGAGCGTGAGTTTGAGCCCCACGTGGGGCGTGGGGCCTACTTAAAAAAGAAAAAAAGAAACCGGTCTAACCAGGGAGCAGATATGTAGATACCCAAAGATACTAAAAGCAGACAATCTGCAGGAGGGACTAGAAACTGACATTTAGAGGTGGGTTAGGAACATACAATTGGAGGGAGGACTGAATGCCCCTCTGCACGCACTCCAGGAATCCCTTTCTAACATTTTCCGCGGGGAGTGTGTTTGCATTTACTCTGGGGATGGTGAGTTTCTCACCCCCCCTACTGAGTTACCCGTTTCTAGTGTCTGCCCCAAACCCCTAGAAACAGACAATTCCTGGGGATCGCTACAAACAGAAAACTCTGAGGACCCTTGAGAAGCTACCGCCTGGAAAGGGGTTGGAAATCCCACACCAGGAATCACTAGAAACAGATTTTCAGGAGAGGAGTCTAGAAAGAAACCAGCTTTCAGGCAGAGCTGGTCCTGAAAACCTGGCGACTGGCCCCGCGGCGGGATTCTGGGGATACTAGAAACTGACATTTGGCAGGTGGGGGCGGGGGGCCCTCTCTAACCCTTGGGAAGGAGGCAACTAAGTACAAATGGTTCTGGCTCTGCCCACCTGCCCTGCCAGCCCCTCCCCCCCCCGCCCCCACCCGCCACTGGGTCTCCCTGTCCCGCCCCCCGACAGGAAGCCTGGGCTCACCTGGAGGATGAGGTCACCTTCCCGCAGCCCGCGGTTCCTGGCCGCCAGGCCCGACTCAGTGATGTGCTTGATGAAGATCTGACTGCCCAGGGTGACCCCGAACTCTGTGGGGGGGAGGAGGGACACTGAGGCAGGGCCTGGGGTCTGGGTTGCAGAACGTCCACGGCAGGGACGTGGGAAGGAACGGAGCCCAGGTCCCAGCTCCCCGACACCCTCAATGACATCCCGGTGAGAGTTTTCAGGATGTGACTCTTGTTATCACGGTTACAAGGCAGCTGGGGCGCCCGGGGTGGGGGGAGGCTCCGGGTTAAGCGCCCGACTTCGGCTCAGGTCATGATCTCGCGGTTCGTGGGTTCGAGCCCCGCGTCGGGCTCTGTGCTGACAGCTCGGAGCCTGGAGCTGCTTCGGATTCTGCGTCCCCCTCTCTCCGCCCCTCCCCCACTCACGCTCCATCATTCTCTCTCTCTCTCTCAAAAATACACATTAAAAAAAATTTTTTTTTAATTACAAGGCGGGGGGCCGATGTCCCAGTGCCATTTGTCACATCATGTTTAGAATTCTAAGGCCAGGGTGCTGCTACTAAACTGAGAGGGGTCAGAGGCCACACGTTGGCCTTACGGAGGGAATTCTAGTATCGTGACGCTTCTACGGATGCCACAGTGTGTGAGTTTCCCGGGCCGGAAAACAATACCAGTTTGCAATCTCATGGTTCTGGGCTCAGAAGTCCCAACACCCAGGCGTGGGCAGGGCCGGTTCCCCCAGGGCCTGGCTCCCCCCTTTCCGGCTTCCAGAAGCCCCGCATCCTGGGCCCGCGGCCCCTCCTCATCCTCAAGGCCAGCAGCTCGGGTCGGGGTCTGCCCATCTCTCTGCCCCCTTCTCGTGAGGACCTCGCGAGGCCGCCGGGCCCCCCGGGACACCCAGGGTCACCCCCACCTCAGGGGCCTGGGCCTGCGCCCCTCTGCCGCACGAGGCCACGTGTCCCAGGTCCCAGGGACCAGGACGGGGACGCCTCTGGACACACGGGACAAGGGGTCAGCGCGGCCACGGCGCCCCTTGGCGGGAACGGGGAGCCCCACTGCCGCCGACCCGCCGACCTCACCTTCGCTGTCCCTCCTCCGCACCAACACGGACTTCACGGGCCTCATCTGCACGTCCTGCCGCGGCAGCCGCTTAAAGCCCGACACCAGGGCCAGCCCGTTGGCCTCAGACCTGCCGCCTGGGCTCCTGCGCCCGTGGCTGCCGGCCCGGCTCCGGCGGCCCGTCCTCTGCCGGCGGGAGCGCTCGCCCCAGGAGCGGCCAGACCCGCTGGATGTGTCCCCGTCGTAGCCCTGGCCGTGGTCAGCCTCCCCATCCGAGACCTGATGTCCCCCAGAGGGGCTGGCCTTGGCAGGCAGCTGGATTTTCCGGGGACGCTTCACGGTCTGTGAGGGGAGAAAGGGGAGGGGCCGGCTCGAGGCTCCGCCCCGACCCCTGAGGGGGGGGGGGGGGGGGCTGGGCCTCAACGTCCAAGCTGTGAAATGGGGACCGGATTCCACCTGCTTGTAGAAGCTTCCGCTCATAACACCCCCGGGCTGCAGGTGGGGCTCAAAGGGGGGGGGGGGGGGGGCCGGGGTGCCCCCGGGGTGGGGGGGGGGCTGCCCCGCCCACCTGGCCCCCACTCACAATGTTCGCCAACTTGGTACAGGTTTTGAGTATCTGAATGGCAAAGGTGGAGGTGACGCTCTCCATGGAGACCCCATTCACCATGACGATGTGGTCCCCTGTCCTGAGAGACGAGGGAGGCTGGGTCTCAGGGACGCGTCCTCACATAGGAGCCCTCTCCTCAGGCCTTCCCTGCAGCCCCTGCCATGTCCCCCAGTGCCCGACTTTGGGGCAGGCACCTCCCAGTCTACAAGGCCTGGTTCTAATTCGCTGGTGTCCCCAGGCTCACAAAGACATTTATCCTCTGGCATTTATCCCTCAGTGTCCTCATCTGTAAAATGGGGCCAACAACAAATCCAACTATAATAATAGAATGCAACCGGGGCCCCTGGGTGGCTTAGCCAGTTAAGCGTCTGGCTCTTGATCTCGGCTCAGGTCATGATCTCACGGGTCCGTGACTTTGAGGCCCTCGTTGGGCTCAAACTTACTGCACGGAGCCTGCTTTGGATCCTCTGTCTCCCTCTTTCTGGCCATCTCCTGCTTGCGCTCTCTCTTCGTCTCAAAAACAAATAAATGTTAAAAAAAAGATTGAATGCAACCACAGAATGCAAGCTGTGATTATAAGTATCTCCGTACCCCTCAATCCTTCTGTCACGCCCCGTTTCTGCTTTTCTCCCCCTCTTTCCCTGTGTTTCTTTCTTTTTTTTTTTTTTTAACGTTTATTTATTATTGAGAGACACAGAGCATGAGCCGGGAAGGGGCCGAGAGATGGAGAGACACAGAATCTGAAACAGGCTCCAGGCTCTGAGCTGTCAGCCCAGAGCCAGACGCGGGGCTTGAACTCACAAACCGCGAGATCATGACCCGAGCCAAAGTCGGACGCTTAATTGACTGAGCCACCCAGGCGCCCCTTCCCTGTGTTTCATAACGTCTCTCTCTCTCTCTCTGAAGCTGTGAGCTGTGCCTCGATTCTGGACTGAACCATATCACCCGTCAGCCACTCAGGTCCCAGAACCGTTTTCCCAACAGAACGCCCAGGAGCCTGCCGCTCCCAAGGGTTCAGAACACAGCGTCTCCTTCCCTGCGGCCACAAAAGGCTTCCAGGACCTTTCACCTCAGGAAGGCCATTATGACCCCGGAGACCTACAGCGAAGGACCAGGAAGTGGCTTGGGGAGGGTGACTCTCCCAACGCCAACCCTGTGCTGCTGCCAGCTCCGAGCCCTGTGTTGACAGAGCTGAAAGGCACCAGGCACTTTCCCCGCTCCTGGCTTTGGCCCACACAGCTTCCTGCTCTCGGCAGGCCCCGCCCCTGCCCGCACCCCTGCTGCCTCGATACTCACTGCAGTTGGCCCTCAGCTGGCCCCCCCGGCACCACATCCGACACGACCACGGATCCACTGGGCCGGTCTCGGCCACCAGAGATGGCAATGCCAAAGCCTCTCCGGGGGTCCTGAGAGAGGGGAGGAGACCTAGGATGAGTTTTTGCTTCCTCCCGTGGAGCAGCCCGGGATCAAGGTGGTACCCCTGTAGGCACCCACGCGGGGAGAGGGAGGCCTCACCTTGCAGAGCGTGGCCGTGTGCTGTTCCCAGATGGTCATCTCCTCCATGTCCAACACCTGACAGCAGAGGAACGGGAGGTGGGCTTGAGGCCACCTCAGGCCCACTGGAGCATGCAGGGGTCCCCCGCCCTGGGTGGGGAGCCCGGCTGTGACACTCCCCGGGTCCCAGGCCTGTGGGCAGGTTGCTACCTCTCTGGAGACCTCAGCTTTTCTATCTGCAAGGTGGATTTAGGTCAGGGGTTCTCAGTTAGGGACCACGCTGCCCCCCAGAGTACGTGTGGCAACATCTGGAGACGCTGGCGGTCATCACAACGCTGCCCAGCCCCCCACAGAGCAGGGAAGCTCCCCCCCACACACACAGGGAATGATCCAGGCCCAAATGTCCAGATGCCAAAGCTGAGACCCTCAGCAAACTGGTGAGAGGCAGCGAAGCAAACCGGTGAGAGGAGAGAAAATGCAAGTGCCTGGGGGGGGATCCATGCCTGGGGGAGGGGGGATCGAGTGGGGGGGGAGGGGGGTCCATGTCTGGGGGGGAATCAAGCCAGGCCTGCCCGGCAGAGGGAGCCCACTCTGCTCCAGCCACCTGGGGCCTCCTCACTGTTCCTCCGACCCCTGGGGCCTTTGCACGCGCCGTTCCTTCTGCCTGAAACTCTTTTCCCCCAGACCTCCACCTGGCTCCTTCCCTCACCTCCTTCTCCTCTCAGCTCCTGTGCTACCTTGCCGGTGAGGCTTTCCAAGCACCCGGTGCGGAACGGTAAGCTCTTCCGGCTCCACGGCAGACCGCCCTATCCACCCTTCCCCGATACGTGTTCCTAATTCGGAGAACTTGTGACCCCTTGACGTTCTCTTGGCTGTTTCGGTCTGTCCGTCTCCCCTCTCTAGAACGTCCGATCTGGAGGGCAGAGAGTTTTGTTTGTCTCGTTCACAGTGAGTCCCGGGTCATAGCAGGGATTCAGGAGCAATTTGCTGAAGGAAGAAAGGAGGGAAGAGGAGAGAGAGAGGAAGGAAGGAAGGGAGGAGGGAGGGAGGGAGGGAGGGAGGAAGGAAGGGAGGGAGGAAGGGA